CAATGGGGCTTTGGTGCTCACTGAGTCTGCCCCCTGAGTGTGTCCTTTATGGTTCCCCGGAGCTGCAAACTTGATGGTCCCACTCTGACCTCTGGGTACACTGGTTCCTGGATCTCTAGGGAGGTGCTAATCTATCCTCTGCCTGAGGCTATCCAGCAAAAGCCTCCCTACAGGGCTTGGGCAGGGCGGGTTCCACTGGATCAACAGGGCGGGGCTAGCAGTATGCCTGCTCAATGAGGCCCAGCTTCTCAGTATCTCAGCAATGGCTCCAAGCCCCTCTGAGAGAAAGCTGCCTTCGAGTTCCGACCAATGCCAGACAGTCCCGCTTCTCCTGTATGAGTCTGGGTCCCCAGAGACTCGCCTGGAACTGGAGCTCAGAGCCTGAGACTCCCTCCTGATTGAAAACGACAACCGCACCCTCACCCGCCAGCCCGCTCCATGTACGCCTCTGTACCTTAGTATTTTACTTCCGCACTCCGCCTCCTCTGAGTCTCGGTATGCTTTTCTCTTTCCTTCTAGTTGTAGAATTGCCACTCAGCCAGCCTTCCTGTGGTTCTGGATGATGTCCATTCCGTCTTTTAGTTGTATTTTTGAAGTGGTTGTTCAAGGCAGCAAACTCCGGTGTTTACCTATGCCGCCATCTTGGTTTTTAATCCAAAGATGTAACTTTTTAAAAAGGAATTGGTAGGTTTTCTCTACTTACTTCTTCCCCAGGTTTCTCCCATATTTATTCCCCTTTTAGACCCACCTGGTGGACCACTGGTGGTCTGTGGGGTCTGAAAGGTTGGCGACCACTGTTTTGGACGGTCTTCCCTTCCCAGGCCCAGCTTGGTTGTTTTCCACCATGTTCAGACCATATTCTGTCCTCATTAATGCATTGTTTTTCCCATTGCCTTTTGCTTTCTTCAGGTAATGATGCTGGGAATCCAAAAAGATCTGGAGTGGTCCACAAATCCACCTGGAGGTCTCCTCATTTATTTGCCCCAGTTACCACCCTCTGCTCTTCCAGTTGAGTTTGCCTGGACCATAAAGATGATGGGCGTGGAGTGATCATTGGAGTCAAGAGGAAAGCAACACTGCCTGCTGCTCAGTTTTGATTTTCTTCTTGCAGTCCCATCTTTGAAATAACCTACTCTTCTCTACTCAGAGATGGCTTTTCCTACATACCTTAATCAAAGGAACTGAGTGCACTGCTCTATCAGTGGATCAAAGATCTGAGCCACCTTGCTGGCATACCTCTCTCATCAGCAGAAGAAGGGACTAAACAGTTAAAGCTATCTGAGTCCATTCTTCCTGAACTTTGGACATTATCTACAGTGGAATCTCTCCTCCATTCTCTGTTTGATAACTGGCTTGCTTAATGACTTCGGGTAAAGAGTAAGCCAGTTCACCTTGTTGCCTATGGGAGAAGGTTTAAAGGGTTTGGCAAGCTCAACCACATGCTATTTATCTAGCATCGACTGTCACCAGCACCTCCTGAAAGAGCAGGAGAGCCTGGAGGGAAAAGAAGGGCATGCTAGACTAAGAGCTCTTCAGAAGTTTCCAAAGCCAACTAAGGGCTCTGAAATTCAGTCTGTACAGTGATACTATGAAGAAAATGGATGTGATTCTGCGCTGCTTTTTAAAATATAATCAAATAAATAAATTTTAATGTCAAATGATTTCTACCAAAAAACATGTTATAGTTTTCTTTCCTCAGTTTCTATGTGGACTGCTTATAGCTTTATGTGTCTGTGTTTTAAAAGGGCCAGTCATGCCTCTTTAATGCAGAACAAAAAATGTAATTTCTTTGGTTTTCTCTTCCTCACTTCCGGTACCATTCTTTTGAAATTGATTTTTAGAAAGAGGAAGGGAGAGAGAAACATGGATGTGAAAGCGGTTTGTAGTTTTCAGTGTACAAGTCTTGAAAGTCATTTAATTTAATACCATGCTAGTATTTTTGGGTTTCAAGCTACAGGTTAGCAAATTCTGTGGGTAGTGCTTTAACTGTTATGATGGAGGAAATTATCAGTGCTGCGGAATCATACAGAACACTTATCATCTCTGTTCTCTCCCTCGCTAAAATCTGAGCCCCTTGAAGGCAGAGACAGTGCATTCTCTGCCTCCCCTGAGAATGCCATTTAGTGCACTCACCCATTGCAGATCTACTCACATAGTAGCCATAGTGACTATTTACAAATGCAAGTTTGATTATATCTCCTGCTTAAAACCCTTCAAATGCATCGCTATTAGGATAGCTGTTATTATTCTTTTAATCCTCACCTGAGGATTTTTTAAAAATTTATTTTAGAGAGAAGGGGGGGGGGAGAAACATCCATCTGAGAAACATTGACTTGTTGCCTCCTATATGTGGGATCAAACCTGAAACCTTTTGGTGTACAGGAAGATGCTCCAACCACCGAGTCACCCGTCGAGGGCAGGATAGCTGTCATTGATATAAATCTCCAAAGCTTTATGGTATGGTGCCTGCTAATCCCTCTCATTTTAGTAGGAAGTCCCCTTCCTACTCCCTCTCTGCTCTCCAATCATTCTGGCCTTATTTTCATGTTTCCAAAACAAGTTTTCAAACACTTCTAATTACTGTCTGCAGTAAGAAATTTATTTTACATTGCAGCTTATCTGACATATGTAATAACAAAAGTTTTGCAAAGCAGTACTTAGTACTTATACAATGCACAACTTTTTTTTTAAGTTGGTATCCACTACGTTAATATTATGACCACAACATGTATTTTGAAAAACACTGCTCTAAGAATTCTTTGCCTCAGAGTCTTTGCATATGCTATGCTCTCTGCCTGGAAAGCTTTTCTTGTATCCTCTTTACCTGGATGTCTAACTTATTCTTCAAGGTATGAAAGCAAAGGATGCCTCTCTCTAGAGTCAACTACCAGCATTTGAATTCTGAAGATAGTGATGAATAAGTTAATACATGCAAAGAACTCAAACAGTGTGTGTGTGTGGCAAATAGCAATGCTTCATCTTACTGTGAAAGGTAGTAATTATGCAAATATTATATATTAAAAAAAGGGCCACATACTAAACCTGACACCTCGGGGAGGGAGGAGGTGCATGGCAGGCCTTACAAACTGGTGACCGAAAATAACCATACAGGATGGTCTGAACATAAAAATTCCTAACTAAAGTGGGTCATGGTGGTTAGTCACATCATAGGCCTGTAGCTTACTTGACAAAGGTCAGTTTGTACGTTGAGCCTATATATTTATCGTCTTTGTGTGTCTAGCATACGTAACTTTGAAATGTCAGCGGCACAACTTCTGGCACCAAAGCACAAGACCAACAGAGCAGGAGACCACAGAGCGAGCTCCTCATTGTTACTGTCCACATACCACCGCTAGGTACTGTGCATGTTAATTATTAACTATCCTGTACCCACCAAAGTAAAGGAAGTGTCTTTCTGTTTTGTTTTTAATCCAATCCTAGAAATTTCCTACTGTTCTGCTTTCTTCTTGTTAGTGTTTTTGCTTTGTTTCTTGTGCCTTTTAAAAATATATATATTCTATTGATTTTTTACAGAGAGGAAGGGAGAAGGATAGAGTTAGAAACATGAGAGAAACATCAGCTGCCTCCTGCACACCCCCTACTGGAGATGTGCCCGCAACCAAGGTACATGCCCTTGACCGGAATCCGCAGGCTGATGCTCTATCCACTGAGCAAAACCGGCTAGGGCTCTAGTGCCTTCTTCATCTACCACCAATCGATTTCATATAACCCTCCTTACGGCTCCTTCTTTGATTCTAATGTATAAAGTTCCAAAACCGCAATTCTTCAGAGCATTTACTTAATTCATTGAGATTTTGCTTCCTGGCATGTCCTCAAAATTAGGCTCAAACGAGAAGAGTTTTCTATAGACTGACCATTCTTTCATCGACATTATTAATATGTCTTCCCACACCTTTCAGACTCTAAGCCTATGAAGACAAAAGCTTTGGCTAATTTTTGTTCATCTTTACAGGCCTAGGTCTCACTTCACCGGGCAATGACACGGACCTTAGAAACACCAGGGAACGAGTCCGGAAGAGCCGGCCGGGAGGAATCGAGGCGGAAGGGCAGGGGGCGGGGCCAGCGTAGGGCGTCACGCGCCATCGCGTCGCTCGGAGGCCCGCCCCTCAGGCGGGACCACGCCCACCTGGAGGTGTGTAGTCACGTGGGCCCCACGGGCCTCCCCCGGCCTCCGCCGGGTCAGCTGAGCCAAGATGGCGACAATGAGGGGGTCGCTGCGGCAGAGACTGGTGGGCTTGGCGTCCATCAGGGCTGTAAGTGCCGCGCCCGGGGACGGGCGGCCATTCTGCACCGTGAGGCTCGGGTCGGGGGCGTGGCTCGTGTCGGCTGTTCTGAGAAGTGAAGCTAGAGAGCTCGTCAGGCCAGAGTCAGGTGGACCTTGAAGTCTGAGACCCCCTGTGTACCCCAAATCCCTGAGGGTCATGAGGGAAGCTGAGGCCCAGAGGGGGGCGACCTGCCGGTGCCCTAAATCCCTGCTCAAGGCGCTTTCGCGTGACCCTGGCACCTTCCTCCCTCTGAATGCGCCGCGGCCTCTCCAGCTCTGGCTTGTGAAGTGTCGCCGGTCGCGCCGCTTCCGAGGGAGCAGCAGGGTCGCCCCGGCTTCGCCTACTGCGCACCTGCTGGGCGGTGGGGGTGCCCGGGCGCGGGAACCTGGAGATGGGCCTGCGCGGGGAGCCTGGCTCTTGTTATTCCCGCTTCTAAGTGAAATAAATAGTCCTTCTGCTCTTAATTCTAGAACAGACCAGAGGTGAGTCAAACGGCGAGAAATGTTGGTTCCGGGGCCAGCATTCTGAAGATGGATCCATTCCTTCAGATTTGCCCCTCTCGGGGGTTCTCCCCGCCACACACACTTCATGGGTTTATTTGGTTTCATTATGCAACATCCACAGTTAGTCACACAGGCAGAAAGGAACAAGAGGAGTGTAAGTTAGGTGTTTACATCTGTTCGAGTGTTACAACACTAGAGGCCTGATGCACGAAATTCCTGCAAGAGTAGCTCTTCCTTCCCCGCGGCAGGGCTTCCAGACCCCACACCAGGCTTCCCTCGCAGCCCCAGCTTCCTCCAGAAGGTCGTCCGGAAGGACATCCGGTCTAATTGGCATATTAAGCTTTTATTGTAGATGAGTTCCAAGCCCTGGCAGGGTGGCTCAGTTGGTTAGAGGCCCCCGATTAGCCAAGGTTGCAGGTTCTGCGCAGGTCTGGGCACGTACAGGAATCAACCAGTGCGCAAATGAGTTGGAGCAACAAGTCGATGTCTTTGTCTCTTTCTAAAAGCCAGTTAAAATCTTTGTTAATAAATAAATAATGAGTTCCACAAATTTATCCAAAAAAGTATGGTAAAACACCACTCTAGCCGAAACCGGTTTGGCTCAGTGGATAGAGCGTCGGCCTGCGGACTGAAAGGTCCCAGGTTCGATTCCGGTCAAGGGCATGTACCTGGGTTGCGGGCACATCCCCAGTGGGAGATGTGCAGGAGGCAGCTGATGGATGTTTCTCTCTCATCGATGTTTCTAATTCTCTATCTCTCTCCCTTCCTCTCTGTAAAAAATCAATAAAATATATTTTTAAAAAAACAAAAAACACCACTCTAACATATTGCACAGCAAGCCCTGTTAGTCACCATGGGAAAATCATAAAGTGCTTTAATTCCTTCCCAACTGGGGGCGGGGGGGGGGGGGG